GGCATTTGCACTGTACATTGAAGATGAAGTGAACATTATGAGCTGAAATTTTCCTCAGTTTATTGTCCCATCCAGTATTTTTTCTCCTATTCTAGGTGATTATTAGACAAGAGTCTAATAATTATGATTGCAAGAACTTTGGATTAGCAAATCTGCCTTTTTAATTGAAAATAGACCAAAACATTCTTTTCCTGGATGGCTGTGTTGTACTGTAGGTAGTAAAATCTTAAATGAATTTCTATTAGAAATTGAAACACCAGAATCCAGAATGAGTGAAAAAGAATGCCAGCCTTTTCCTTGTAAATATAAAACTTTCATAATTGAATTTTGCAAGCTTCTCATTATAGTTTATGGTGTGACGTATTGTATACCCATCAGTTTCTATTAACATTAAACAGTTTTGTCAACAGCTGATGGCAGTAGAATTATAATTATATCTATTTATGAAATTCATTGTAGAGATAAAGAAAATTGGATGTTTTCCTCTGTGCTAATTGACAGGTAGAACAACTGTGTATGCTGCTTCACTGCATTTTGCTACTATAAAAAATAAATTACAATATGAAAATAATACTGTAACTTTGTTACAGGCTCTATTTTAAAGTTGAGTGAATATGATAATTTGATTTATGTCACAATTAGTTGAGGTGTTCTGCTGAGGAATAATGTGTAGCAAAGGTATTTAGTCCTTAAAACAGATGGGAAAATCAGTTTAGATGCTAATGAGGTTTCTGAAAGAGATATAGTATTACTAAATAGCGAGTTATGGGGATTTGATAATTTTAGTGTAAATTTTCAGTTTAGTTTAGCTGTTGAAGGTGGTTTGTTGCAGTTCACAGGTCACAAGCCCATACTGATGGTACATGGTATGACTTCAGATGTACTAGTATTTCATAAGCTGAAAACTGATAAGGATTGTATTTTAAACACATGCATAGACAACTCATAGCTCTTAAACTATGACATATGGAGATAACTTTATATTATTTGATCTAGGGCATGCTTGAATAGAAATAGCCAAACACAGAATAACCCAAGAAATAATGCAGCATTTTTGCCTCTGCTACCACCTTGCCTGACTCTTCTGGCTTCCCTCAACACTGTGTCTCACTGTGGACTGGCAAGCAAAACATTTCAGCCTTGGATTCCAACAGCTTTGTCCTCTCCTTTTTCATCCAGTCTTCATCCTGTAACTGTACATGACCTTTCCCTTCCCTTCCAAACTCTCTTCAGTCCCCTTCCAGTATTTCCTCCTGCTCCACATACCTTTCCTTCTCCAGAAAGATCTTACGGTATTTATGTTTTACTCCGAAGATGACCAGATTGACTCTGTAGCCTACTGTATTTAGAAAAAAGTCTGTATGATACTGTGTATGATACTCTGAAATTAATTGAGCTTTTCTGGTCAGGAATAATGTATATCCAGGAGGAATTTAGTTCCTAAGGCAGATGGGAAAATAGGATTTTACACCATCCTGTTATGTTGTTGTGCTCATGTCAGACATGCATGTTGGGGTATTTAACTTCTGAGATATTCTGATGTGTTGGATTATTTTTCCCCTTATAAATTATCTACATTTTATTTAGAAATAAATAGTGTGGGCTTTTTGGGGGTGGGAAATAAAAAACAATTGGTCTCCTCATGAAACATGAGTTTAGATGGTTTGCCAAAGACAAAACCTACTATGTCTGGCTAAAGTTTAAGATAGACATGTAAATGTTATCTCTCCAAAACAGTTCTGCAGAAATGTTTAAAGTGGATTGTTTCATTCATACCTACATGAAAAATTCTTCTCTGGTGACAGTTCTGGAGACATGCTTTGTCTTTGTTTTACGGAGTAACTCAGATAAATTGTAGTGCAAGAAATCTGTACCTTTCATGTACAAAATTAGGTCAGCAGTTGGATTGTTTTCAATTAAATGAAAGACACAATATCCTTTTAAAGTGATTTTTATTAATCTGTACTTGAAATGTAGCTGACAGTGGTGTGAAGTAGCAAGTGTCTAGAGAGCCATAGGAGAGTACAAACTGATAGAGACATGCTTTGGCTTCATGGTAATTTGTTACCTAGGGAGTTCCTGAGTCAGAAGTGCTGTCCTAGTTCTTAGTAGCTGTTCAGGATTTTTTTTTAATACACTTGTCCCTTCACTGTTAAACCACATAAGATTTTGTTTTGCTTATGATAACTTTTATCAAAAGAATACATAGGTTAGCTGCGTGCTCATTGAAGAAGGTCTTTGTTTTTACTCTTTCCATATAATGCCATATAACGTACAGTTTCTACATTGAAAGAGGTTGTGCAGATCTGTTAACTCTTCTTACATGTTCCTCCTTAGACTCCTTAGTGCTTCAGGATCCTTCACTGTAGTAATTCTTTCTGTGTTTGTCTTGTTTCCTACCTTTCTGATGGTAATGCCCTTTCTAAACCTTTCTAAACTTTCTTGCATGTCAGATGTATTCTCCCTGAGGTCAACAAATTGCTTACTTTTAAGTGGATTTAATCAGTAGCATAACAACCCAGTCTGCTCCTTCGCTAAATAATATTGTGTTCAGCAGCTGCTGAACACTGAGTTTATGTTTCCATCAATCTTGCTGTACTGACCCCAAGATCTCATTTCTGTATGCATTTGGGATTACTAAACTGAAATAGCTCTTTACCCATGCGCACCTCTCTACATATTCACTCTATAATTTACTGTGTTATAGTCAGTACCTCTCTAGGTTTCTTTGTTGGTTTTGCATGGCTTGGTTTTTGGCAGTGGGGGGGCCACAGAGGTGGCTTCTGTGAGAAGCTGCCAGAAGCTTCCACCATGTCCAGCAGAGGCAATCTCCCTGATGGCTCTGCAGATGGACATCCTGCTGGGCAAAGCTGGGCCAGTTCGTGAGAGTGGACCCAAACTGGAGAAGTTCATGGAGAGCTGTCTCCTGTGGGAGGGACCCCATGGCCCTGCAGGGGAGGGATTCCTCTCCTAGAGCAGTGGAAGAATGCTGTGGGTGATGGACTAACCAAAACCCCCATGCCCTATCTCTCTGCGCTGTCTGTAGGAAGGAGGGAAGGGTTGGAGGGAAAAAGGTGTATTTAAGGATTTATTTGACTTCTCATTATCCTTCCCTGATTTTGTTAGTAATAAATTCACCTTGTACCTTTAAGTTGAGCCTGTTTTGCCCTTGGAGTGTTTTCTCCCCTTCCTTATCTCAACTCATGAACCCTTCATTAAATTATTTTCTCTCTGCCCAGCTGTGGCAGAGGAGGGTGGGCGAGCTGCTTTCGTGTGTGCCTGGCATTTGGCTGGTGTCAAACAACAGTTTTTTTTCCAGTTCTTCGCATTTGGTTTCCCTGATTGCTACTTTCAGACAGCATCTTCATCATCATCATCTACATCACCTCATCTGTCCAGCTGATATTCCTGGGACTCTCCACTGAGTGCCTACTTCCTCCTGTATAAACTAATCATAATATTTTAGCTAAAACTTTCTCAAGTACTTTTGAAGTTTCAAAGCTAAGCACCATCCAGTCCTCATAATTTGTTCTCATTTCATTTATTCTCAACAACCTCTTTTTCTGACAGCTTAGAAATAAGAGATTCATTGACTCTTTCACGAAGTAATATTTCATCGTGGAAATCTCTGAAGGTCTGAGGTAGTGATCACAGAAGGAAAAAAAAAATCGTTTCTTGTACCAGCTCCTTTTATATAGCGACTGTCGTTTACTTTTTCTGACAAGGTTTCTGACTCCAATGTATATGAAAGAGGATTTGTTACTGATTTTCCCTCAACTTTTTTTTAGTGTGCCTTTAATGTTGCTCTGTTTTGATCATTTTCAGTTCACAGTCCCTTATGTATACCTTATATGACACAGCTCTTCAAGGTCTGCTTTCAAGCAGCTGTTTTGCCACTTAGCTGTGAATGCTTACATTTTCTTTCTTCTCGACTGTTTTTTGATGGGTGGTAGATGTGTTTCTACTTACATAAATTATTTTAAGTTTATAAGAAATGCAGTGGTCTGAATGAGGTTGCTTTAGGTAACATATGTTTATCTGTGCTGGTACTTGTGACTCTGCGCTTGATATTTGCAGATATGAGATTAATTTTAAATAGTTTTAGTTCCTGAAAAAGTAATGAGATACTTGGTAAATATCAAGAAGACAGCAAGGATGTCATTAAAGGCTTATATGTCTGTTCTAGTTATGGCTGAAATAGAGTTGATTTTCTTCACAGTAGCTGTTTTGGGGCTGTGTTTTGGATTTGTGGTGGAAAAAGTGTTGATAGCATACCCCACATAGCTGTGCAGTTACTGTGGCAAAGAATTGAATAGGTGATCTCATGAAGTGCCTTGTAGCTCTGCAAATCAACCCTCAGCTGGTCCTGTCAGCTTGAACTTGAGGATTTCCAGTGTCCGTGGTGCAAAGCTGAGGCTGTAGAGCCAATCCTGATCAGGATATCAGTGTGATAGGGAAATGTTAAGGTATAGGAGAGAAGCTGCCCATTTTGAGCGGGAGTAACAGTGTGAGGGTTCAGCTGCTTATATATAGACTGACTGCATCTTTGCTTTATTAGGATTATAGGTAGCAACAGGAATACTTGAATACAAAAAAATAATATATTTTTAGTGCATCTAATGTAGGAGGACATCTCTTTCTCTTCTAAAAACATGATTTTGCAAATAAAAGCTTTGAGATAGTAATGCATCTGAGATTTGTTTCTTGTTGATAGTTGTATTATTTTTATACTTGTGGTTTTTGTATACTTTTAGATAAGGAATTCTTAAGTTTCTGCTCAAAGAAAATAACTTTTTTCTTACAAAGTTTATTAATTAGTAAACCTAACATTTGGTCATACTCATTATCTGAAAGTGGTTGGATTTTACCTTCCTCAGAGAAGTACCTTAAAAATAACGGTAGAAAAAGGGGCAACCTGACATAAATTTACCAGGTGTGTGATCTATAGGCCTGTATACTTTTTAAATCACCATGTGCATTTTTGTTTTGTTTTCTCTCAGGAAAGGAGACAGAGAAAGCCAAAGATCGTTGTGAAAAAGCCACTATGAAACTTCATATGTTGCATAACCAGTATGTGTTGGCACTGAAAGGAGCACAATTACATCAGCACCAATATTATGATACAACACTTCCTCTGTTACTTGATTCACTACAGAAGATGCAAGAAGAAATGATTAAAGCCCTGTAAGATGTATTCTCAAATATTTCTGACTTGTAAAATTTCTGTGTGCACTATTCTAATTAATTTATAACAGTTGAAAATAAGAAACTGTGATTAATTACTTATATATCATTAATATATATATTAATTTATAACAGTTGAAAAAAGTCTATCCAAATGATGCAGATGGTAGTTGTGAGTGCTCACTTAAGCCTACCAGCAAGACACCATCTTCTTATAAATTCTTACAGCTTGACTGTGGTGTTTATATTTGAGCACATGATTTTTTTCTTCAGTTTATAGACAAGAGGCAAGTTTGTTGCCTCTGTGGTAGTCATTATTATGAAATTCCATCAGCAACAAATTTTCTTTAAGCTGCCCAACTGTCTTAAAAGTGATTGTGGAGGAGCCACAATCAGATGCACAGTTAACGGTATGGGTGGGAGGATTAACAGGATTATGTAAACTTGATCTCACTGTAAGGAGTCTCCCTTAAAAATACTATGACCTCTTTCCTAAAAGATCATTCTTACATCATTACAGAGTATGTCAAAGTGATGACATCTGAGACAGGATATTGAGGACTTTCAGCCCTCCTTTCTGATTTGTAACCACCATGCTGCCTCTTTGTCTTAATTTAGAATAAGGGACGGTTAGCTTTTTTTTAAGTGTTCTTAATTCAGATGTGAGACACTCTTCTTTAGTCCATATTCTTGTCTATCCTGAAGTCAGAATTTGTCTTGATTTCAGTGCACAGGAAGTGAGGGGGAGTTGGGGATTCCACACTTTATATGGTGCAGGCATCATTAGCTTCCCTATGCAGTAACATTTTAATTTTTTTGCTTCAGGTAATGGTATTGGTATTGAGCTTTGTAGTACTCCCTGTACGGTCCTTTTAATTTTGTATGTAAGATCACAGGAAAAGGCTACATTTAAATGTGTGTGCTCTAATTCAGGTGATTGTTTTAGAATCACGAGCTATAATAATTAACTGAGGAAATTTATGATGGAACAAGAGCTTATTGAAACTTATCTTTGCTCTTCCTGTAGTTAAAACCTGTAAAAAATACTTTTGTCTCTACATAGACTTTTTTGTGAGTTCCATATGTATTGGAAAATGATTCTATTATAATAACTTATACTAACTAACATATAGAGATGCTGATTTCAGATGTAGAGCTTAGTGTGACAACCACTGTGAAGCAAAACTTCCTCAATAACCCTAATTTTGCAGGTGAACCAATTTTTTAAACCTGATAAAGCATAGATTAATATTGCTGATGATTTTTTTCTTTCTTTTTTGTCATTGTAATGACAAAATGATATTACATTGCTATAGTTGATGTTTAGCTATCTTTTAATCACACTCCATTAAGTACTTTTCTGGAACTTTTTCACACATGATATTCTCAGAAAATACAAGATTTAGTGCCTTCTCTTGCTCAGAACTAGTGCACTGAAAAAATCCTATCATACCATTCTTTTTTATAGAGCAAATATAACTTGAGATCTTATCCAGGAAAAATGCATTTACACTTTTTCCTCTGCGTATTGGACTAGCCAAAATTCATCAGTGTTTTTTGAATGGCCATCATGCTTTGGATCCTGGCAAACTAGCAAATTCATCAGAGATAAAAATGAAATAAGAAATAATTATGAAGGTACATTATGAAGGAAAACTAAAAGTTAAGAATAGAAGGGTGTTCCGAGTATGTGTCACTGTATGCTATTATAAGAGTAGTGTCACAATACCACCTCTTCCTCTGCAATTAATTTTTCATTTGGTTTTTCCCACTTTTGGAAGCAGGTAAAGACAAGGTTGGGTGGATTGTACTTTCTCACAGCAACATATTAGTTAATTTTCTCTCCACTTGTAAATATATTCTTACTTGTGATTTATGCCTATTTTTGTCTGAATGATAAATAATATACATTAAAAAATGCTAGAAAAAGATGGAAGACCAGTGTTGAAAGGAAATGCACACATTTCTGTAAATAATTTTGCTTTATCCCAGAATATATTTTGTCATGAATTATGAAAATCTTCAGTGTTATAAATGGGTAATGTGATGATTTGCTCTCACAATTAAGAGATTAATATTGTGTGTATGTTAAGAGAAGTTTTGTTGATGTATGGTTATGTTATTGTAGTTTGTTTCGACACCCTCTCTTCTGCTTATAGTCCCCTTTTCCTCCCTGTATTGTTGCCATTGGACAGCCTTGGTAGTCAGGACATGTGGAGGGAGGGCATGCACTCCTGCCCCTTGTATGGGGCCTTTGGGAATGGAAAAGCTGCTTGCTAGGGCGTGCAGCATGGCAACACCTGACCTCCAGTCAGGTTACAAGAAAGCAGTCTCCACCAATAGATGTTGAATAAGAGTTGACAGATAGACTTTGGGAGGGGCCAGGATTGGCTGACGCGACCTCCAGGGGTATAAAAGGTGGAGCAATCATGTTTAGGATGAGCCTCTGGCAGTTGGGTATGCTCCCAGCCACCCTGGCCTTTTTCCTGATTCAGTCCTTGGTTGTGTTTGTTGAGGTTTAAAAAACCTTTGAAATTTTAACATGAGTGGTTGTTTCTCACTTTCAGTATAGGTTACAAGTGTGGTAAGTCCTGTGTGAAGAAGAGCATTATCACTGAATTCTATTAATTCCCTTTCCTTACAATCTCCCGTTTTTAGTTTAGCTATGCTGTATGTTGGTGCACTGAAATCAACACAAGGAGCATGGTCTTAAGAGACTCTAGCCACCCTCAGTCTGTAGGGGAAAGTCCTCAGGTGATGCATTGCTTCTTTGAATATTATATTGTCGTATTTTTCCCTTTATAGCCAGTTGGAACAAGACTTTGTAGAAGCAGCAGACTGAAAATTTGAAGCATCTTCAATGCCATCTATGTCTTCAGTGCCATATTATACACTAGATTTTGTTTTCCTCTCTAGAAAAGGGATCTTGGATGAGTATAGCGAGATAACCAGTCTTGTAACAGAAGAGATTGTGAATGTCCATAAAGAGATCCAGACCTCGGTGGAACAGATAGACCCTAACTCTGAGTATAATGACTTCATAGATACTCACAGGTAAGCATTTTCATCTCATGTTTCTTCTTGAGAAAACCCTGCATTCAACTGCAACTGCTTAAGTGCTCAGAGGAATTTGTTTCCGTTTGGTTCCTTTTACCTTGTTTCTTGTACAACTTAATCCTAATTTGAAAATTATTTTACTTTGCACGTACAGAAAGCTGGCTGAACAGTCTGTTTGGCTGGTTCTAGAAAAACACATTTCCAGTCACATGAGAAGAGCCAGGACTTTGATACTGACAGTACACTACGCATTACAGTCTAGACTCAGTGTGAGCCAGTTTACTGTTTATTTGGATGCAATTTGTGTTCTGGATTAAACTTGTTCTAGTTTAAAGTCAACTCTAGATACCTTTGTACTCTGCAGTTATTGCAGGTTGAGACTTCAGAGCATGCAGATAATGCAAGAAAGTTCTTGCTTAAAAGGTGTATTTCCCATTTATTGAACTATTACTCTGTTTTACTGTATGAAGAAATAGCTCTAAGACTTCTTTCATTATCTTTTTATTATTGTTACGTGTGAATTGGTGATTGTCACGTGCTGGTTTGTGATGGAAGCAGGTAAGAGTCACCCATTCACATTGGTTTTTGAGAATCTTGATTTTGCTGTGAACTTGATTCAAAGAACTGTAGTGTGTTTTATTATCTCATGAGATTTTAGAATAATGTTTTTTAACAGGAAAAAGAATATGTATACAATTGCTATCTATTCTTATATTTAATATATAATTTTAACTGTAATCTAGTTAATGAAATGCTTCAAGACCTGATGATTTGCTCTATGATCTACTCAAAGATACATGTTGATTTTGAAATTATATCAAGTATTTACTAAATTAGGTCATCAGAAGTTGTTGAACAAGAAATAGAGTTTGATACATCTTTACTAGAAGAAAATGAAAACCTTCAAGCTAATGAGATCATGTGGAATAATTTAACAGCAGAAAGTTTGCAAGTCATGTAAGTCTCTATAAATCTTTCATCCTTTGGAAATGCTATTCTGTGTTATATCTATGCTCACTTAGATCCTTGCATGGCTGTGTCTCCATTTTTAAGGTTCAGTTTTGAAGTGTAGGATTTTCAGGCTACAGACTCTTTCCCATGCTGGTTGTACTGTTCTTTGCACAAAATTCTTCTCCTTAGTCTCCTCAAAAACTTGCCCTTATTTTCAAAGTATGTAATTCTCTGTGCCACTTCATAAAATGCCCCAAAACTACGATGAGTCCTCCTTAGGAAGGTGCTGGTTCATTTTCCCAAAACTGTTTCCACATTCACTAACCTATTAAAAACAGCAAAATATTTTGATGAAACTATTGAGTAGAGTTATGTGGTCAGTGATTTAAATCACCATGTAGAAAATTTTCATGAATAAATTTATCTTGTTTTTTAAGTGTTTGCTTCTGTTTTCTAAAGGAGATGGTTATTCACTCTTGTAACCTTCAGAGTACATTAACTTAGTAACACAGATGTAGTTGTTGTATAGTGTTTCACAGAGCTTTTAGCTATTCAGGGTGATGAACTACCTCTCTGTGTTTTGTTAATATATTGCCTAATTAAATATTTTCATTACTTTTACCAAGTTCACCTTTAATGATTTGTTATGGGGAACAAATTGACTTCTGAGGGTATTCTGTTTGTGTATTATCGGCCTCAACTTTTGACATTAAATGGTCCTGGGTGGTCATGTCTGAGATTGCAACTGTTAATCATGCATTAAAAACGGGAAATTAGAATTACATTGGTTGATGTTTTTGCTGTGTCTACTGTATTTCAGTTCATGTGGGACTTGAAGTATTTTCCCCTTAGAAAGTATTACTGATGCAAATAAGACATCAGTGACATATTGTGGGGATTTTTACATTTAGTTTTCTTCAATTTCACTTCCTTAATCAAACTATGATCGTTATTTCATGTAGGTTTTTCTGAAAACTAAAATCAGTATGAAGTATTTTCAAATGTAAACATATTGCAGTGTCTTCTGCAGGTTACTCTTATCCCTGTGTTTTCTCAACATGACAGAAACTCTGGATTTTATTAATTCCTTTTTAAGGTTCTTAATCATCCTCTCTTTTTCTGTATAATTTGATTACTTTTGGTAAATGTATTCCTTTGATAAGTATTGAAGTATTTTTTTAATATGAATTATCTTCCTACTTAGTCATGAAGCAGCTTTACCTTATGAATGGATCCCATGATAATTAAGCCCCCCCAATTCCTTTAAACATGTTTCTCTTTTTAATATATTCTGCATCATTACTATATTGAGATTATTCCTGCCTAAACTCTGAGATGATGTACATCTTGATGTACTTCAGCACAGTAGCGAGAAATAGATACTCCTGTTCCAATAGAATGTTAAAATTTTTCAAAGATATTGACTTTGGCTTGCCTTTTGTATCCAGCTGTTTAGAAATAAGGCAGCAGCATATCTAAATAAAAGAGATAAAATCTTGCTCTTCTAATAAACATTTCTGTTGAGATATATAATTTTGTTATAAATGTATGTCTATATATTCACCTACATATATACATTTTCAGTACCATTTTCGTAGTGTTCTGCTGCCAACCGTTCATCCACTTGAAATGGTTTTGCAAATTGGAGAAATTTTAGGGTGTGGCATTATTTCTGGAACACAAGTCAGGTAGCCTTTTTAAGTGTTGCTGTCTTTAAGGTGTTCACTTTCTGGTATAGATTTAGGGTTCTGAGAAAAACAGTTAAACCATATTAGGTCAGACCAAAGACACACACTCAACTTTCTTCATTCCCATGTTAGACAACAGAAGAAATCGTGAGAGGAGAACAAAACTGGGATGATCATAGAATGCTATTTCCTCAGCTTCCCATAATTTTCACCTCTGAAGTATTTTGAGATAAATGTCTTTAATGGCTGTGGAGGTAGTTTATAATATTCTTCTGTGATCTTTTTCGGTCAGGTTCAGTGTGTAAAAGTATCTGTTGTCCATAGAATTTTAGGTCAAGGAATTCCAGAAATTAACTTCCTATTTTGTGAACCTGCGCTTTTTTCATTTTATGGCTCTTAAGCTTTTGTTTTGGCAGAGAAAGAGGAGCAATCTATTCCTTTCTGCCTATGATAATGTAAATTTCTGTTCAACCTCTGTTCTGTCATCCCTTTTTTCAGAGCGATCTTTTAGCTTTCATCTATCTTTAACAAAGTTTAGTCATCCTTTATCCATCTGGTTATCTATATTTGAATGTTTTCACATTTGCTGTATTGGTTTTGAGATGAATGACTAGAATTTCACAGGTAATCCAGATACACAGTTTAGAAGGAGGTCTTCCAAGGTTTCCTGTGCTCTTACTCTGTTTTAGTTTTAGCATTCAGTTTGATTTTCTGGTCTGAGCAGGTCATCAAGCAAGTGTTTTCAGGCAATCATCAACTGTATCTCCAAGATTTCATTTCTGAGTGGTAGTGGTCATTTTAGACCCATGCTCTATTCTCTACATAAATAAAGCTTTGGGTTATATTTTCCCCACTAAATATTTGCCTATTTCCATATGTATTGAAATGACAGCCCAGGTATAGAGTGTCAAAGTCCAGAATAATCCTTTTTTATTCTTCACATTCAGCCTTCCCTCTACCTCAAATAACATTATATGATCAGCATTCTGTGTCACTTTTCAAACTGTCCTTTTATTTGGATAATTATGAACATATTAGGTAGTGCAGGTTGTTTATGAAGCTCCACTGTCCCCTGGTACTGTAAAAGCTGTTTATTATTATCCTGTTTGTCATCTTGCTTTTTAATGCAGGTCAGAACCCTTTATTTTTTGTTACAGTTCTTGGTAACTGTCTTTACTCATATCTCCTGTTAACTGTGTTTGAGCTGTCTTGGTACAAGCTTGCCTTAAAGCCACTGCAGCCAAAATAAATCCCCACCTGTATTTCTATCAACTGTGTATGACGAGAAATTTGCAAGCAAGAGAAGTGTACTACATCATTTATCCACAGCTGATGACTTTTAAAAAGTTAGATCTGTACTTGATGAAACAATAGAAATTTGACTTTTGATCTTCAGTATTAAAATCATGGCCTTAGAGCTTTAAAATGCTGCATTATGTTTTTACAGAGGAGAACTACCTTCAATATCTACCAAATAGAATAAGTGCACATGGCAGATTTATTTCGCAAGCATTTAAAACATTCAAAGACTTATATTGATTTATAATCAATAATATTTGGTTGAATCAGCTGTTTTATTGACTGTCCACTGGAAAAACTACAGCTTTGCATACATAACTGTTTAATGGTTTTAACAACGTATATTTTGAGGGAGCGTGGTGAAAAAACTGTTTTTTACATTTTAAGATGAACTTACGAATAAAATTTTGACAAAGGGAAGTAGTTACAAGTCAGTGTTGACTAGCTAGCCTTTCTAAGGAATGAGTTATGGTGTCTCCTGATAAATATTCATAGATGTCACTGAATAATACCGAGAAATTCTGAAAAGTGTAGCAGAATAAGAGTTTATGCTTTAAAGAGACATGCATTAAAAGCTGAGAGGAGGCAACCAGAATAAGCTAAAGTTTGATCAATGAGCATAGTAATATCCAATTATTCTGAAATAAGAGTTTTCTAAGATGAAGCATTTATTTTAATTGATAGTTGCAGCAGAACAGAGCTTAAAACTAAAGAGATATGAAAGAAAGCTTTCTAAGTAGGGGTATTGTATGATTTTTAAAGTGTTACAGTGATTAACTGTTAAGTCGTAGAAACCCTTTTGTAAAGTGATTGTATCCAGAAGGCAAACATTACACCACAAGAAAATTCCTTTGGCAGACAAGGGCCAAAATGTTACAAGACAGATGCAGAGTTGTCAGCTGTAGCCAGTCTGAATGAAAGTTATGGTTTAAACAGGGAATACATGTGGAGTGCAAGGAGTGGTTTTGGTGTACCTGGTAGCTTCTTTTTCTTTTCTAAGATAAATAAAAATCTCTCTCAAGTATCTCAGAAGTTTCAGGAAGAATACATCAACGTGACATTTTAATCTGATGCAATATAAAATATAAAATGTAAGGTTTTTGACGTTGTGAAATAATAAAGATGTTGTATCTGCATGTATAATACTCATTCCTTCTACTGATGAAGTCTCAGTAGCTTTTAATTTCCTGACTGTTGATGCTGGATTATTATATAAAACATCTGCTTCCTGTAAATCAGTTGTTAAGTAAATACAATGTTGATTAAAATTTTGTTTAGAATGCTGTTCAAAAAGCAGTTAATTTTTTAAAAGTTACTTACTTTAGCAAGGTATTAAAATAAGAAAGTTAGTTGGTAATAAGTTGGAGACCCAGTATAAGAAAACATAGAGAAGTTCAGCAAAGAGATTTTGACAGCCTAAAACTAATAAAAATGTATAAGGAAAGCAGAGCTGAGATGATGTTATTTTGAGAGAAATATTTTTAATATTTATCTTATCTCAAAATAAACATGCAGAAGGTCTGTCTTTTGGGAAATAAATTTTCGTCATTCACTCTATGGCTTTTTTTTGTGATTTTAGTCTTCTCGAATAAAATGCATGACTGAGTACAGATCATATAAAATCAACAATGTATAAAATATATTGGGAGGAGAGGACTGATTCAGTGTTTAGAACCAAATAACTCAGGTTGGTATATATGGATGTGTGGAATGTGCCTCCTAGATATTTAGAGAGTTGGGTGTACCATTCCCTGGTCTGGAATGGTTTTGTGCTGTAGATCTGTGCAGTGGTAATTGCTACAAGTATTTTGCTTGTGTTCCACTTTTTACTTCAGTAATTTTATCAAAATTTGGCTTGAAAATACAGGGGAAATAAAGTAAGATAGTTAAAGATGTGTAGATAAATGACAAAAAGGAAACAAGATGTACATGCTTATTTATTTTTAACAGATTGTTCTGATTTAATGGTTTCTGGATTGATACATGTTTTAGAAGTTGTCATTATGTAAGCTATTTACATGCATTGTTTAGAATGCAAATGTTTTCTGCATTCATGGAATTTCTTTTTTTGTTATTGGAGTATTTACCAGGATGATTATGAAGTGTTAGTAATGGTTTTAAAGTGTAATACCCCTTCTCTGTTAATATTGAGTGGTTTTGTACTTTACTTTGAATTAACCATTACCAAAGATTGTAACCTCAAAAGGATAATTGTAAAGAAAGATCCAATCACTGTTACAACAGAAGGTGATAATTTGTACTTTTGCTATTTCTAGAAGTAAATACAACCCAACTATCGATTCTGTGTATTTATTTAACACATGCTTTGTGAGTCAGAAGGCTTTTGTCTTTCTTAAAGCATCTCATATATTAGCAGTATATTAAGAAGGCATTAATTCATGGAACTCATCGCATATTCTGGAAAAATATTTTCTTGTAGGAGAACCTGCAGGCAGGAGATTGTTCTGTAACCTTGTGTGTATACAGAGGCTCACATAGAGTCTCTAAAAATGCAGATTAGCAATGTACAGGTCCAGCCATACAAAAAAAGAACTATCACTTAGCACTGAGTAACATAGTCTAAGAAATAATGCTCTTTTACATCTTCAGGAAAAAGATGACAATGTTCCCAGATATATACAGTTTATGCATTCACAGGTTGGGTTACTGAAATCTGTTTGCAGGTTGAAAACAGTAATAGAAGAGCTGATGCAGACACAGCAAACCCTTCTGAGCAAAGAGGAGCTTGTTTTGGAACTAGAGAAAAAAATAGAGGAGTCATCTAAGACATGTGAAAAGAAATCTGAGTAAGTTGAAATTTAAATTCCAAAATACAGTGGTTTGCAGGGGAAAAATGTCTATAATGCCATTCCTAAAACTTGTGTAAGAAATACCCTTCACTAATCTTGTTCTGCTTTTGTGTTTAGCAATTACTGTGAAAAACAATGGTAAGTTAGTTTCTTGTCTCTAAAATAAATCTTGCCCACTGCAGACCCCAACTCATTGAAGAACTGAGCAGCCCCATAAGTTTAATACACTTGTTATGGTTTGGGAAGAGCTTTTGGCTCAAGAGCTGGACTTTCATTAATTCAATTCCACTTGCTCAAAGAAGATGAGTGAGTTCAGTTGCCTCTCTGTTTGGCAGAATTCCTTGTGGAGGTGTAATTCTGTAAAAGGCTTTCAGAGTCATGTGCGAGACTTTCTTATGCAGTAATATGTTTGCAACTTGTCAGGTTAAATTCATACTTCTTTGCATTTCTCTACAGAAGTGTAAATGTAAAGTATGTTAATCTCATACCCTGTAGTACTGCATAGTAAATGCCAAAGGTGAGAGATTAGTGAATGCTTTAGTGCACCATAAATAAAACGTTATTATAAAGAATCATTCTTGGGCAACATCTTTAGGTTTTCCTTCTACCTTTGGTTAGAAAAAATATTCACATAGTCTTCTAAACTGATGTTGGTACAAGTACAACAGATAAAGAAACCTTTTGTCTGTAGTAATATTTTTCTGATTCTTGTTGCAGTCAGTCCTAGTCTTATTAATATGGTAATAAATATTTGTTTACAATACCAGTAGTGAATTGGAATTGATACTCCAGTCCTTTAGGTGGTAATCCTTCATTTACTGAAAAAGTGTTGATGCTCATTGTTGATGGAACATTGTCACATGAAACATTGTATAGTATTTATTTCTCATCCAAAACCTCTATGTATCTGTTGTCAGTGTTTCAAATAGATATTTTGTGTCTTTTTTGTGGTGAAGTTCACGTGCACTCACAGTGTGTTTTCCATTTTTAGCTTCTTGATCTGTCTTCTTTGCTGTATGCTACTTGAAGGATAAACTATATTTGAATCAGCTGAGTTTGATGGGGTGTTGTTTGGTTTTTTCCTCTCAGTATTGTTTTGTTACCAGTTATCACTCCCTGAAAATAGTTTAGACCATCACAGTATTTCTTACTGTGTGAAGGCTTCTCTGACTGATCCTGTAGCAGATGTTTGTGGTGTTGAGGAGATGATTTCAGTTCAAGTTGCACCAGTACCTGTTTATCTTATTAAAAGCAGGGAATCTGGGTTAGATGTCTAGCTGTACAGTGAAGGCTTCCCTGAAATCATCTTTGTTCTGATTTTGTCATTGATCAGGCCTGCCTCAAATAAATTCCCTTTTCACCTTTTAGCTGCAGTGTAGAGTGATCAGGATGTTTCAGGATGTTTACTGTACCCAGAATATCTTGTCCATTGTTGCATTTGGTTTAATAATGACTGCATAAAGTAATACCTTATGACAATGTCTTGGTACTATTATCCCCACACTAATATCCCTTTCCATCTTCAAATGATGATACCACCTTCAATGCAGGAAATGTTTTAATTATATTTTATTTATATATGTATATGTCAAGTGTACCAACTGCCCTTACAACATGATAGCATACTGAATATTTGGGTTTTGATTTAGTTCACCTTTTTAGCGCTTTGTGATATTTTGCTCTGATTTGCAGGGATCCTTCATAGAAGATCTCACTCTGTGAAATTGCTTGTAGCTATTACTAGCAGCAAGAACTTTGCAGCTTGCACTCATGCAAGCCACAGGCAAATAATTTTATAGATTCTAATTCCTCATGCATGACTGGAGTGGCAAGCACTGAAAATTGGCTTTGGGAAACCAAATCAGATTGTAATCCATTTTGCCACAGTTCAGAAAGAGACTAGCTTGTGAGTGACTTTTCAGGATATCTTGTGTTATTGCTGTGTCCTGATCAGTTGAAACCATTCAGTGTGTATTCACCAGTGTATTCACCTGTTATTTTCACATGGTGATGTCCTTTTTCTCACAAAAAGGAGAGCAGATGAAAACACATTATCTTCAGGATAACTTCAGAATAGTTGTTCATTTGCTTCTCTGATGTTTTTAAATATGTGCAAGTTCATGCCAAATCTCTGTTTCGGATTTGAGAATTGTGACTGCATACCTCACACTTACTCTTTTTGAATTAAAGATCATTTTGCTGATGGTGAGGAGTTTTGCTGATTACTGACTTGATATAATACTTGCCTATATGAATACAATTTATATTTTTTCCTGCCAAAGAGGATTTTATGACAGGTGGTTCCCTTGTTAATTTGAAACCCATTTGAATACTCATTTGACTGAGCATCAGTTTATGAAGGATCAATACCTGTATGAACAACTTTTACCTTTCTTTTTTTCTTCAAGGGTAGAGCTTGCAGGAGGGCTTGTCTTCAAGGGATTATCCTGAAGATACAGAGTAACCCAATACTGTGATTTTTCTTCATATTGTCTTCATTCTTCATAGTTCTTGTCCATTTACCTCCTCCATCTATTCTTGGAGACAGTGAGAAGTCTGCATCTCCTGTAGACCACTTGTCACTGAGCACTGATTGAGTGCTTTTAAGGGTGTCTGTATTATACTGTGGGTGATACTGTCTCTTAGTCAGCTTCTGTCAGTCTTTGGCTTTGGTAGTTCTTTGGGATGATAGAATCATATGGGTACCTGCAGATACTCTATGCACATGTCTTTCAATATGATTTAATCATGACTGTCTCGAGTATTCACGAGTATAAGTGGTATTCAGAGAAGAACTATAAAAATAAGCAGAAGATAAAAAGTTGCTTTTAGCTCCTCATTAAGATAAATGTTTTTATCTTTGTAAGACAGTTGTAACCCAGTCCAGAAATACTTACACTGCAGAGGAAAAAACAGATGTCTCTTATGTGATGCCATATGAATTTATACTGGATGTGAGGGGAGTTTGATATTGTATATTATTACTGCAACAACTACATGGATTGGAGTGAATTTCTCATCATTTTAAAGCATTATCTAAAATTTACTTATTCTCTAAGGGAGGGGGAACCCCAGTGTTTATAAATTCAGTCAAAAGTGGATGAAAACAGGAGTTCTGCCTATATTTATTATACATGATTTTTGTGATAGAACGAGTGCTTACTTTTATTATCTTGTTGCTTTGAAAATTTTCTAGAATCTCTTCACCTTTGAATAAATTATTATGTTGAGGAGTTGTCATGCTTTCTTCTCAGATTTTATGAAGCAAATAGATTATTTTGAATCATGTACATTGTTAAATTTTTATTTTTCTTTGCAGTATTGTACTCTTGCTGAGCCAAAAGCAAGCGCTTGAAGAGCTTAAGCAAACAGTTCAGCAATTAAGATGCTCTGAGGCAAAATTTGCAGCCCAAAAAGAACTACTGGAACAAAAGGTTCAAGAGAATGATGGGAAAGAGCCGCCACCTGTAGTGAATTACGAAGAAGATGCCAGATCAGTGACTTCTATGGTAAGTTTTACATCTGTTTTACTGAATTGTGTAGCCCTGCCATTGTACTTCAGATCTGGGACTGGAGTATCAAGCTACTCACTGAAGGGATTTAAAGTGAATGGACTTCACTTTGCATTTTTGGACACTTGTTTGGACAAGAAGTTCAATTGCATGATATTTTTTTCTTTTTAAGTGGCAGTAACTCATAATGATCTGTCTGTGGGGACTTGGATTAGTCTTGTTTACGCTTGATGCTTAGATTTTCATTACACTGTTTAATAAAGAAAAGTCTTAACCCTTACATAGATTTAGTAAATGTGACTGAGCAGCTATTGGTAGTTTCCTTGACTGTGTTGAAGAAATAAATTTACATTTGTAGATAGAAAATTACCAGCAAAAGGTCTTGGAATTGCTGCACATGTTATGTAATTGAGAAATTAATTTTATGTACTGTAATTACTCTTTTCTCCAACAGAAATGAACACTGGTTTCTTTAAACTTGTTTTTAAATGTTTGTGTGCTCTTAATAATTAAAAGGAATTTTTTTGGTCTGATGAGACCTCATGTAGTTTAAACAAGTACCTTACTTTGCTAATATTTTGTGTGATTTCATTTTCTCAGTTGTGTGCAGCTACGTGCAGAGTTTGTAGGCCACATAAAAAAGCAAACAAGCAGTGCCTGTTTACTAAAGGGACAAACAGTTTTTGCCTTTGTGGATTAGTTTTGACATGTAGGAGATATTTGCGACTTCTTTTCATTGAGGTTTAGCCTGACGTTCTTTTTGGCCTATGGGGCAGTAGCTCTGTGAAGTGATAATTAAATAGTTGTTTGTGAGGGGAGAGCTGCTTTTCTTCCTCTCTCTATTTGTGGAACTGTTTGATTCCCATTCTACAATTATGCTTGATTGTCAGCATTCTCTTGCTTCCACTGCTATTTAATATTTAAAAGGCAGTATGAAATGGTTGTCATTTACGTTGGTACAAAAAGTTATTTTACAAATGCTTGTTGTGACTTAGAAGGAGTTAAAAAAGTACAAAAAGATGAAGAAAGAGAAAAGAAGGATCAGGATAATGATTGCAAAAGATTAGGAGGCTTTGAATCTTTTTGAGGCAGGCTATGTTGTTAGTTATTAAATACCATATCCTGTAGTAGTGTTAGTGATTATTGTCTGCTAGTATTAGTTGAGATGATGAGTCTAATCATAAGAGTGGTACTCTTCCCCTTTAGCTCAAGATTACTGCTTTCTGGTGTCTAAACCTCTGTTTCAGTGAGTGGGAGAAAATAAGCCTGTGTGCTGAGCACAGGCCTGCACAGGGCCAAAAGGACAGAGACACAAGAGCTCCATCACTGCCAGCACTGTGTCACCTCCAGTGTCACCTTCAAGGTGAGAAGGCTCATCACTTCCACTGCAGCCACTGATGGGCCCGCAGTGCCCCAGGGCAGATGGCACAGGGTGGCTGGTTCTGTGCTCGGGGCATGGTGGCCTCTGCACTTGAGCAGGGGAAGGGGGAGCATAGAGCCATAAGATGGTTTGGGTTGGAAGGGACTTCGAAGATTGCCTACTTCCAGTCCCTTTCAACACCTTCCACTACAGCAGGATGCACCACGTTACAAAATCTTGCCACTTTAACTCAATGCAAGGTTGCAGAGAAAAGCCAAGGTTGCAGAGAAAGGGACCTAATGATGAGAGGCAGTCTGATCAGCTTCACAGGGAGAAAGTAAAACAGAAACAGGAAGTTAGTACAAAAGGAGGCAGAAATATTTAACACACTAAGTTGGTGTTGTGTAAACTGAAATAGAGGATAATGTTTTGTTGTTTTATTTTTTAAACCAGTAAGTAAAATTTACTGTTAAGGCAACTTGAGAAAATAAATCAAATATGTATTTGTATTCTAGAGATAATGTTAACATTCATTTTTAACATGGATTGCGTACTTTAAGTAACTTGCTCTAGTTTATGCAGTTCCATCTGGCCTATGTTATCTGAGAGTTCGGAGTGCCTTCTCTTTCCTTGCTTCTTCAAGGCAAAGCTTGCCAGAAGGACTGAGCCAGAAGGACTCTTGGACGTGCACTCTTTATTTTGTGGGTGCCAGATGTGGAAGTCCGGAATAGGAGACTGAATAGGACTGAAAACAGGGTTAACTGTGAAAGCAGGCGTGCTTATTTCCACAGCTAAGTCAAGTTCAGCATTTACATGTACAGGATACAGCATTTACACTTAGGCCATTGGTACTGAGGCTACCTTGGGATTAGCACATGTTGCCCCAGAAGGAAATGGTCGTGGTCTACTGCAGCCTGCACTGGATCCTGTTCATTCTTCTGCTTATGCTATTTTTTCTCTTAGGACCTGAAGGAGCTCCTGCACTTCAGTAAGAAATTCTACCAGATTTGGACTTGAAAAAAGACAGGAACTAAACATACCTGATGGTGTTGGTATTGTCCTTGCTTTCTGAGAAGGGATTTGAAGTGATCATTAAATGGTTTGATGCCTGTGATGTTGGATAAGCCCTTACACCTGGGCTTCAGTAGAAGGGCTGAGAGGTAGTGCAGACTCTGGGGCATTTTTCTCTCACACAGCTGGTTGCTCCAGTGAGCTACAAGTAGTCAGGCCTATTGTCTCTGCACATGAAAGGACCACTGCTGGCACCCTGCAGTGGAGCAGAGAGGATTAAGGTGGTGTTGGGTGGTCACTGTGAGTACTGGGGGTGTCTCCTCTCTTACAGCTTGTGCCAGAGCTGTGTTCCCATCAGAGTAAGACTCTGCTCAGGTGCTGGAACCTCTCCTCTTTTAGACTAAGACTGGTTCCCCTTATATCACTGTCTGGCAGCATGAAGAGTCAGACTCCATCTTTTTTATGGAGCTTCCTTTAAGTACTTAAGGGCTTCAGTGAGATCTTCCTGGAGATCTTCCTTTCCTTCTCCAGGCTGAACTCTCTCAGCTTATTGTCACAGGAGAGGTGCTCCAGTGCTGTGATCAGTTTAATGGCTTTCCTCTGGGCTTGTTCCATTCTCTTTCTTGCCTTGAAGGCCCCAGACCTGGGTGCAGTTTCAAGATGGAATCTCACAGGGGCAGAGTAGAGGGAACAAGTTGCATCCGTCATCCTGCTGCTATGCTACTTTGAGTATAGTCCAGGATGTAGTTGACAGTCTGGACTGCAAGTGCACAGTGTCAGTTCATGTTCAGCTTTTTGTCTACCAGCAATTCAGAGTCCTCTTCTGCAGGGTTGCTCTTGATATGTTCTTCTTTCTCCCAGTTTGGCATCACCCTGACCTGTCAGTCTTGGCTGTATCTCAGGATGGAAAAATGATATTCTGATGGGTTGTTTCTTTGAATAAATATAGTGGTGATTTTTAAAAAGGTTTTTTTTTTTTTTTTCGTAAAACTCCTTGAAAATATCGGGCTGTAAAATATCAGAAATTAAATGTTCTTGCTGCTGATTGCTCATCCTGGTATCATTCAAGAGGATGACTGTTTCTTCAGCTATAAATTCATCAAGTTTTCTCCACTTCTTCTGAGAGCAGTTCATCTAAATGTTACTCTGATACACTCAAATAAGGTTATTTATTCCTCTTCAGAAATTAATTGTGAACCCTTGTTTTGCATTTTTTTTCCTAAGAATTACAAAATCATGGTTGGCTTGTGTTGTCAGCATCCATATGAAGCAAATTTTTGTGTCCTCAAGTCACAAATAAATTTTTTTTTGTAATTTAAAATTTAAAAGAGGGATATGCAAAGCAATTTTGTTTCATATCTCCTAAGTATTTATATCATATAAATAGAGCCAATTTCATGGTGGAATAGTTTGCAAATTGTTTTGTTTCCCTTCTCCTGCATTAGGTAACTGTATAATAGAATACTAATAAGGAGTGAAAATCTGAAATGCTGTTAGATATGTTTTTATAGACAGTGCAATGTTATGTGAGTGTTTTTACTTAGTTTCCTTGTTCTTTTTTGCCTCTATTAAATGTAAGACATTTCGTATTCTGTTAGTGTCTTCCCTATGGTTTTCTTTTGTCAATATATTTTTTTAAGTATATTTGCTGTGTATTGATAGTCATGGACTCATTTAAAGAAAAAAGGAAATTGCCAAACAATCATTTTTTTTTTCAATCAAGATATTACAGGGAGTGAAGCAAAAACTTCTGAACACTGCATTTAACGGTTTTGTCATTCTGTATGGAAAAATGAAAAATTTTATTGTTACTAGCAGTTATACTTTTCTGCTGACTTATCCATGCAAGACAGATATAATTATAATGCTGATGGCACTAGAAATTTAAAATCTTGGTTTTGAGCCACTTAGAATTATGCTTTTGTGCCATTTACTATGTTAATGGGAGATTTATAGTTCACATTTTCTTCTGTACTTAACCTGTGGAGATAATTTTTAAAAAGCTGGTTATTCCTTGTAAACAGATATATTTTGACAAAAATGCAGCAGTATCCAAAGTGTTATGTATTATATCACTGCACAGAATTTAACTCAAAGCTACTTGAGCTAACTTTTCCACATTTAAGTGTTCAGACAGTGGATGTATGGCCTGTAATTTGTCTTGAGTTACATAAGGTATATTTTTGCTGTTAATATGATCAACAAAGCATAGCAGTAGTCCATGGTAATTCAAATGAAGAAAACAAAACTTTATGTGTCTGATGATCAGTTTAGAAATAAAAACATCATTAATTTCTGGATATTGCAGTACTAGCTAAACATTTACTCAGGTAATTGCATACAGTTATGATAATTTGCATTTAAAACTTATAGCATCAGTATTGCCTTGGAAATTGTTACAGAACAGGGAGTCTTCAGGGAGTTCTTAAACCAGGCAATAGATTCAGTTAATATAAAATAGTAAGTAATTTTGTTTAACAATCATACAGTGAAATCTCTGTGTCACTTTAATATGTCTTTTCTTTTTTCCGTACATGGTAAAAAAATTATGAAGGCATAAACTCATGACTTTTAAGAATATGTGTTTGAAGTGACATACTCTTCTTACAGTAGAAGTGTTTAATGT